CTGAGAGACTCTGATATTCCTCTGGGTGAGCAACAAACTTGTTAAAAGCAATAAACCCAAGGGGCTGTACAGGCTGCAGAATTCTGGCTGCAATGGTAGGTGGTCTGTTCCTCTTGCACTCAAGGATGATTTGAGGGCTGGAGCAGCTCTCCTACAAAGACAGGCTGGGAGAGTTGGGGCTCTTCAGTCTGAAGAGAAGGCTCTGAGGAGACCTCATAGTGGCCTTCCAGCACCTGAAGGGGCTACAGGAAAGCTGGGGAGGGGCTTTTTACGAGGGCTTGTAGTGAGAGGACAATTGTAATGGATTAAAATTGGATGAGGGGAGTTTTAGAAATTCTTTAGTGTGAGGGTGGTGAGACATTGGAACAGGTTGACCAGGGAAGTTGTGGCTGCCCCATGCCTGGAAGTGCTCAAGGTCAGGTTGGATGGGGCTTGGAGGAACCTGGTCTAATGGGAGGTGTCCCTGCCCAAGCAGGGGGGCTGGAACTAGATTATTTTTAAGGTCCCTTCCAACCCAAACCATTCTATGATTCTATGATCATTAGTCCAATCGTTCTACAAATCATCAGGAAGAACAATCAGAAATCACGCTCCTAAAAGAGGCCAGGGAACATGCTAGTCTGGTATGGCCAATTTGCTTGGGCAACTTCTCAGTGTCTTAACTAAACAAAACTGCTTGAACAAATAAAATAACAATGTGTCCTGAAAAGAGAGGTAAGACAAGGGCAGATAGTATTGACTTAAGGGCAGTTGTAAATGACAAAAGGAGGGACGTCTACTTTTGCAAGTGGCTGTGGCCTTCTCTAAGCTAAAGCAGAGCTGATCTGCTACCATTAGATCTATACTGACCTGAAAAATTCTAAACTGTGTGAAGTAAACCAGAGGAGTACTGTTTTATACTGTAGGAAATATAAATATCAGTAACTGAAATGAGTGGAAAAAATACATGGATCGCACCTTTAATCTTCAGTGACCTTACAAAAGCATTCTCAAACTTTTTGAACATCTCAGAAGAACATTTAATTCATCTGAAATCCTTCTTTGCCACAAGGCAGATAATTCAAGCTACTTTCCTGATTAATGTGGAGTTACTAGAAGTGCTGTTGGATTTAACCATGACACTGCACAAATCCTTTCTCACAATAACATCTTCCACCTTCTTATAGAAATGATGATGAGGGGAAAAAATGTTACAAGCCAGAGATGGTCCAGGACAACTAACTCTTTAATGAACTATTTAAAGAGTCTAAACACCACCTAAAGAGTTTAAAAGTAGGTTATTTGCAGGAAGCAGTTTGCACTGGGTGAAATGCAAAATAATCCTGACAAGGACTGGCTTCTAGAACTGCTGTACAAACCTGCCAAACTACCTGGTGTAGCAAACCAGGGATTATGCTCTGACCAAACCTTTCCAGGAACATCAGAGGATGTTACCTGCTCAGATGCCCAGATGTGCTGCAGCTTAACTGACTATTCTGTGGCATTATTTTCACCACTGTGGGTGTCAAAGAGGATTACTCCTGCCAGAGCACAGGAACCAATGATCCCATTTGTTTGGAGGAATATCTTAGTCTGCACTCCCATATAATACTAAGAATTGTCTGGCCCTAAATGTACTGAAATTCTGATCATACCTAATTTAAATTGACATGCAATTTCAGTTAAATTTATTTTGTGTCCTTTCAAGGGGGACAAGGTTTTTTTGTTTCTGTTTATTTAAACTGCTGTTGAAATTGGTTAATTAACAGGATTTAAAAAATCTTAATACTCTAAACAGAGCAAACTGGTTCTGAATTATTAAGCAACATTTTAGATGCATTTAAATAACCTTAAGTGACTTAACCGCCACCTGATCCTAAGCTGTGGCTCAGAAAAATAAAATGTGAAATACTGTAGAAGTCTTGGCTTACCAGGGCTTCCAGATACAGTAAATAAAGAGCTTAAGTCTCTAATACCATGTCTGCAAAAGGCATGTTCTCAAATACATAACTAATGCTCCACCTTAAGGAGAAATAAGCAGATGAAATTGTAGATTGCAACTTTGATTTTTCAGAAGAAATTAATAAATTCAGTCTTTAAAAATGGTCTTCCAAAGGAGAGGACATGCCAGGACCTCCCTTTCTGACAGATACCATAAAAACATTGACAAACAAATCATTAACCCTTCCAGAGTGCCTGAAGCCCAGTTTGGGTCAAGTTGTTCTGCACCTTCCTCCTTCAGCTTAAAGCCAGACATCGTACACCTTCAGCTTCTTGCCTCCAGTGTGGTGAAAGGCCCAGTCTGTAAGATATTAGAGGCTTAGGAAGACTTCTGCAGATCATCACAGAGGAAGTGAGGAACTGATCCTCTGGGAAGTGTCCAGGGTACATGGGGAAGGTGGATCTTGCAGCTGGTGGACTGAGAAGACTAACGAGATCCGTGCTTGGGAAGGCTACTAAGAGAAAGGGGCTTGGAAGAAACACTGAATGAGAAGGTTGACTGATGTTAATATGCTTAGGGTAAGCTCTGTTTTGTTATAGCTAAACGCATTTTGAAGATCAGAGCAGTTCTTGGAAGAAAGGGAACTGTAATTCTAAAGTCGGCACAGCCGCTTGAACAGCGCGCACAGTTGCTTCCACAAAGCCTTTGCAGGTGCATTTAAGAATAATGTAAAGAACTTGAAGAACAGCTTTTCACCCCAAAAGATGTGCTTTCCAAATGTTTTCAAAGCTAGAGACACAAGCTACCTGCTGACCCAGGCTCACCCACGTTAGCAGGGTGCTGCCTTGGTTCAGGCATTGAGAGAGGAGGTGGTTAGTACCTGCTTTCAGTGGTAGTAGAAAGAACATCACAGTCAGTGACAAAGATCCAATAACAAGTCACTGCATGTGCTTCACTGCTTTGGAATGTCCGTGCTGCTTGAAAATCTAAAAGTAGTGTATGGAAAAGGTTAATCTGTGTATTTACTCATGTGTAGAAGTTTGTATTTACAGTAGGGTTATGATACCAACTTTGAGTTAGCTAAGGATATCTATGTAAGCAACTGGAACATAGAACTTAGAACTAATTAATTGTTATTTACCAAAGAAATACAAATACTTCAAAAACACTGTATCAGGACTGATGGCTTTGAAAAGCAAGTAGAAATCCTCTTCGTTGAAGATAATCCCCTCATTTCATAGAATCATAGAATGGTTAAGGTTGCAAAGGACCTTAAAGACCATCAGGCTCCAACCTCGCTGCATGGGCAGGGACACCTCACACCAGACCAGGTTGCACAAAATCTCATCAAACCTGGCCTTGAACACCTCCAGGAGGGGGTATCAACAGCCTCCCTGGGCAACCTATTCCAGCCACCTCACTGCCCTCATGGTGAAGAATTTCTTCCTGATGTCTAACCTAAATCTTCCCTCTTTCAGTTTAAAACCACTACCCCATGTCCTATCACTGCCTTCTGTGGTGAAAAGCTCCTCCCCAGCTTTCCTGTAGCCCCTTCAGGTACTGGAAGGTGCTATAAGGTCTCCCCGGAGCCTTCTATTTTATACCTACTTCTGATACTTTCAAACATTATTTAAAAAATGTGACGTATCATTTAAATTCAGACATATTCCATGTTGTTGCTTTCTGGAGCACAAGCATCCCAAGTACTCTGCTCTTGCTGCACAGATTTCAGTGGATGTTTCTGATACATAACACGGAGCAGAAGGGTCTTGACAACTTACAGTGTATTTTTAAGAGACAATTTTCCACAAAGCCTAAGGCAATGAATACACACTTTCACCATACTTCCTGGGCATCCATCAATTACTGTTTTTTTAATCCATTTATGGACTTGCACACTTCCAACTTTCCAAACATGGGGAACAGGGGAACATGGCAGATGTCATTTATAGCTCTCAATGGTTAGCAAAGCCCTGGGGATTATTTTTTGTCTGTTGTAGCTCTGGTGGTCACAATGGCAACCGAATTCATACACGGCCACTGAGTCAATTGACATGAATTATTTATGTGACTCCTCATACATGGCATTATTAGGTTGGAATCATAGAAAAAAAAAATGACAGGGTCTTTGCTTCCCAAGCAACAGACAAATGGCTCCATATCCTGCCATTAAATTCGCATTCCTTTGCCTCAGTGTTTTCTCCCTGGCAGTTTCACAGATGTACTGAAAATATCAGCCTGTTTTAAGTCACTAGTCTTTTTTCTTTTCTACTCCTTTTAAAATTTGTTCTTATGTCAGTTGTCTGATCGATTTCTGAGTTTGCTACAGAGGACTAAAATGAATAACGGTGATGATGTGATTAAGTACTGATCATTCAGTTTACTTGACAGAAGAAATTAATTTGTAATAGAGAAGAAAACATATAGGCGTATTTTCAATGAAACTTAGTAAGCAGCACGTAAATACCTGTTGATAAATCAACAGAATTGAACTGGCTTTTGTAAGCAGTAAGCAGGATTGATTTTGAAAAGGGCTCACAGCAGGTTGCACCATCAGAATTTTGAGGTAGGAGATATAGATGATTATTTACTGGTATTATGGAACAAGTGGGTGAATAAGTGATTCAAATGTAATGACCAGCTCATAACTGTATACTGTCTGACACAGAGCCTTCCTTGCTCATAACATCAAATGGCACCAAACCAGCAAGACCAGAAAGATCAGAAGTATCAGCCCATCCCAGCCCCAGGCAGAGCTGATACTGATGTGTCCTTCAACGCAGGACGTGAGCGATGCCAGCTCAGTGCACTCGGGCAGTTTTCATTCAACGTGGTCCACACCTTGTTTTTTTCAGAAATTAGGGATTTTTACAATATCACTGGAAACAGATTTGGCAACACAATTTTGTATGTAATGTGATAGCACTGGTGGGTGGGCACCTGCTTTGCTTACAGCCACAGAGCATGGCAGCACCCTAACGTATTCAGGCATATCTTTTACCTTCCCTGCTATAACACTCTGGTCACATAAAGGAGTAAGAAGGAGGGCTATTTATTCCCGAAAGGTCCATTTACTCACATCTCTCCTCGGAAAGGTGCCCAGCAGCTTGTACTCCTCCCAAGGATATCCCTTGGAAGCTACAAAATCAAAGACAACCTGCAGCTTGCTGCTGGCCAGGAAACGTCGCTCAAAGAATTCCCCGCTGGGCGTCCGGATGCGCAGCTTACTGACAGACTCAGTGCTCTCCTCTTTGGGTTCAGGAGGCAAAGACTGCTCCAGGGAGAGCCTGATAGCCTGAGGAGGGAAAAAATAACTCTTTAGGTGGCAATACTAGCATCAGAAGACAAGGAGAGAAAGCTTTTTATTTCTTCCAGAACTTCAAGATGTGCCACGGTTCTCCAGGGCCAGAGCTGTGCTTTATATCTGAATGACAAAATCATTTTTATTCATTCCTTAATAACAGACCACCAGACAACTAATTAAAATAAATCCTCCTGTATAACACATATTACGAGGTCCACAGTTAATGCACGATGGGGATAAGTAATTTAATCATTTGGCAGAAAGCCTTGGAAAAAAAATGAAACAAGAGATTAATTGTCAAGTGGCCAATTGCTTCCTTCAAGGGTATAAATGAAGAGGTAGTAAAAGTATTTCTTTAAATGTACTTATCAAATTGCCTTCCTCTTGCACAGAGCAATTGACCATTTGCAGCAAAGACAAGACCCTTTGTGGCAGTTCAGGAGATTTACTATAAATAAACTGTCAAAAGACATAACTAATAAAAATATCCTAAAGGTACATTAGATACATAGAGTACATCTAGAAGTAGGAATGGTCCAAGAAGAAAATTGGGAGGACAGAAATGGGAGCTTTAAGATTTAAAGCAAGCAATTATGATTAGGATTGTTTGCAGGAAGATGGTTCCAAGCATAGGTGTGCACATCTTCTGCGACAACTTGCATGAAATCAGCCCCCAAAATTGCAAAGCCATTACACATCTGAAAATGTGCACAATTATCTTCCTGCTAATGATGAGTACATGGCGGATGTTAAGGGCAGGAGCAAAGTCCATGTTCTCTGTCCTCTGCCTCCAGGAGCAACTACAAATTCAGTACTTTGATCAGAAGATTCATTCATTGATGCCTAATATCAGACTGCTGAACAAGGTGGGCTTGATTTTTGAGGATACTGAGCTCAGTGGGTGCTCCTGGACAGGCATTGGCAGCTGTTAAAAATGAGATCATGCTCAGGAAGCAGCCTTGTTCCAGTGTCACCTCACCCACAGCAGCAGTGAATGACCATGTACATGAATGAAAGGAGCAGCAAGATCACACTGCCTCCTCTAAATACACCTAAAAGACAATTTTCCAAACTGAAGAGACAGTCACACACGGATTTAACCAGATTTTCAAGGAACTTCCAAGATACAGAGTTGTTATTTGTGCCTTTGAAAAGCTCCCCAAGGTCATTTGGTAACAGAAACTGATGGAGGCTGATTGAAAAGACTGGGCAGAAGTAAGATTACAAAGACTTTTAAATAGTCTCCTTCTTACCCACGAAACTCTGAGCAAATTATATCTCAGTATAAATATTTATACACAGAACTTGAGTTCATTTTTGCTCATCTACTATGAGATTATATTTTAAATAGATTCTATTTTAATTTTCTCTCTCTCCCTTCTCAACCACCTGCTGACTGTCTTTCTGTTTTGACATTTCCCCACACAGTGTAACAACAGATGCTACATTATTTACTGAACCCAATCAATTATATTATAGAAAAATAAACAACAGTAGCTCATTAGAGCTCTTTTCTTTGTGCAAAGAGTGTGTTGCTCCCCAAAGTAACTAATCTCCAAGGCTTCAACAAGAAATGGCAATTTACAGTGGATATTCTTGTACCAGCAAACCAAGTCAGAAAACAATGATGTGATGGATCATATTAATAACTCTTGGACCCGAACAAGCAATTTCAGTTTGTTGATAAAAAGATGTTCAGTATGTGAATAGCTCAATAGTCAGATTTTAAATATACAAACTGAACATAAAGCCACTTCTGTAAGTAAACACTGTTGCAGAACAATTCAGTAGAAGTAATCTGTGCACTTGAAAACGGGGAGTGTTAGTAAACATTATTGTTAAAATCCCTTTTGTTCTACTAAGCAAACAGATCCTATTATTTTCATTACTGCACACTATATTAGAACAGGCAAGCCCAGGTATATTTTGATAACATGGACCAGTCTTGCAGCCTTTGCCTGAGAAAACAATTTCCAAAAAGAAATTTTCCACCAGAAAAGGTTGAGAGGCAGATGGAGTAAGACAGAATAAATCATTGTTTCTATGCATGAAAATTACTTAGAAGAAGAAAAACATCCTTAATGAATATAAGTGTGAGCTGATTGTTCAACAGTCTGTTATCGTAATGTCTGATTTATGTCTGATTGCTCTTAACCTCACTGAATTGCTATCTTAGAATTATTCTTGACACAACTCTCACAGTCCAGTTTTGTGCACTGCTCCTCCAGGTGTGTTTTATCTTCCATTCTTGGATGATGCTAACAACAGGAGCTAAATAACTTACCAGACACTGCAGGATAAGAAAGAAGTGGACTGCATCTTCCCCAAACCATTCAATACTACTATCTGGACTGAATTCAGTATTTATCATGCAATACTGTTTAAAAGATTCCTGAATGCTCAAGTGGTTCAAGTTTTTTTAAATGCAATTTTCCTGGTTGAAAAATTAAGCTGCAAATGCACTGCTCATACAGTTTGTTTATTGGCTTTACTTCCAGGAATAATAAATGTGCTCATAGCCAACTTTTTTGCAGTTATATAATGCAATTTTTTTCATACATCAGCAAAGTACACGAGACTGAAATGTCAAGTGTACATTTAAGTCACCTGCAGGGGGGAATAAGCAAGGCTGGGATTTATCAGGACTCCATGAGTTCCAAGGACTTCAGCTAAGTGGAGAATTACATGAGAATATAATTCCAAATTTAAAATCTTCATAATTCATGGCAATTGAAGAAGTTGCATTAATTCCACAAAAAAAAAATAATAAAATATTTGAACTCTCCTATTTTATATAAATGAATAAATATTTTTGGTATTTTCTTGATATTTGATATAATGCTGGAAACATACTCAGGAAATATATATTCAACAGGGACACTGATACAGCTTTGTATTCATTAGCAACTTGCATAATTGTATGCATGGAAGTCTAAGTTGATCTCCAGTCAACTCTGATTTCAGTCAGGACATTTGTATGTGAATTTCACTTCTATTTTGAAAGTTTTATCCCAGGGTTTCAAAATCCTTTTCAAGTATCAGCTGTGTTTCACAGCAGTTCTTTAAGGACTTACATTTCAAGAACTTCACAGAACAGACAGAAGTATTTTAATGACTAGGCTATTTCACCTATCCTTTGAAATGTGGTGGGACTTCAAGGGAAGAAACATGATTGTACTCCTGTCTTTTCACCATATTTTGTACTTGTCAGGAGGTGAAAAAGAGGAAGTCACCAATGTAAGTAAAACCAGGTACATGGTGCTTTATGTAGAAACCTACATAGCCACACAGCTAGGAGAGGGGCTAACCTAGATCCTGGAAGGGGCTGCAGGACCCACCTCTGACAGGCTCTGGGACCCTCAGAATCTACAAAATTAAGAGAATCTACAAAATAACTGAGTTTGAGGAACAGTACCCTTCACAGCACATAGCTTCTATTTCCTTAGATAGGCCTGAAGATGTAAAGAGTTCCTTCTAAGGAAGATTCTGTAGAGGACTGTTTAGAAATCTGAAAATGTACCATAAATTCAATCTTCTAGACTGGATTTTTTTCCCTTCATTTTTTTTTTAAACTGCTTTGTCTCCCTAATTAAATTTGGCAATTTGTTTGATCATAAAAAGCATACTTCAAATTCAAGTTGCAATGTGTTGAATGAGGGTTGCAATGTCCATAAGCCTCATGAACGCAAAAAACTGTCAGAAAAGGTAAAATATCCCACCTCACGTTCTTCCTCCTGCTCTTTCCGGATCTGTTCCAAGCGAAACTGCTCTGCCATTTCTCTCTCTTGTGCTTCCCTCTGATAACAGAAACAAAAATCACATATCTCTCACCTCACTTCCCACAGCTATGTTTAATGATGTGCATTAGCTACATAAAAGCACAGAAACTTCTCAACTTTTCAACAGAAAGTAATATAAGAAACAGGGTATTTATTAAATCATCTTTTCCTATCATTCCTTTCCCAACTTCTATTACCAACTGGGGCCAGAACTGCTTTAGCAAAGAGATGTAGCCAAGTCTATACCTTGTGACTGTGTCTAGTGCCATTTTATAACCACTGAGGGCAATTACGGCTCCTACAGCAACTCTCTTATCTTAAAAGCAGAACTGAAGCTGGGCAGTCCTCTGCACCAGAGAGATTTCATGGAATCATAGAGTGGTTTGGGTTGGAAGGGACCTTAAAGATCATCTAGTTTCAACCCCCCTGCATGGGCAGGGACACCTCCCACTAGACCAGGTTACTCCAAGCCCCATCCAACCTGGCCTTGAAGACCTCCAGGGAGGGGGCAGCCACAATCTCCCTAGTCAACCTGCGCCAGTGTCCCACCACCCGCACAGTAAAGAATTTCCTCCTAATCTCTAGCCTAAATCTCCCCTCTTCCAATTTTCATCCATCACCCCTTGTCCTCTCACTACAAGCCCTTGTAAAAAGTCCCTCCCCAGCTTTCGTGTAGCCCCTTCAGGCACTGGAAGGCTGCTGTGAGGTCTTTCCAGAGCCTTGTCTTCTCTACTACCACTTCTTTCATCAACTCTGGAGACAACCCCCCTGACACTCCCCTTGCACGCACCTTGGCTCTGTCAGCCTCCAGCGACAGGCGATACGCTTCATCCTGCTCTCTCTTCACATTTTCTCTGGCTTCACGTTCATCCTAAAGGAAAGAAAACAAGAAACCAAAACTATCAGTGAGCAGTGCGCCGGTATGATCTTCATCTTGATGTTCACCAGCAATCTTCAACCCCTGTGACTTCAAAATGTTCGACTGCCTGACTCATTTAACTACCGCTAGGAGAAATGATTCCAGAAATGTCTCAAGGGTGACCTTGTTTTTAAAAATGACTGCTTCCTAAAGCTCTGTTTCAACTGCCACCAAACAGACTGGTGTCCCCGATTCCTGCCCCAAGGGCTGGATCTGGCAGCAAGGCTCCTTGCTCTATCATCTTTAACATCATCTTTATTCCCAGCCAGGTGGGAAGGAGGTTACGGGAGAGGTACATGTGGGCTGGTGCCAGGGAGGATCTCACAGGAATCTCACTCCTGCAGCCAACAATTTGGACAGCCTTGAAAGAGAGAAGGACAGACCGAGGTTTAAAGGGTGAGGCTGGATTTTAATCCGCTGTCTGCTCAGACTGACATCAGTCAATGGCTTGTCCTGTGAGAAGGATTGGTAAAAACACCCTCAGTAGGATCCATCCAGGGTCATGACTATTAAACATCATCCCAAAGTCTCAGTTCACATTGTGCTGAATAATATACAAAGATAGAAAATGGCAAGTCCTGCTCTGAAGTGTCTCAAATACACAGATGCAGACAGACAAGAAATATGAGCTTAGCATGCCAACTTCAAACCAGCAAACCTAGCAAAGTATCTTATTAATGATCACAGCATGAAAAAAAAAAAAAAAAAAAAAGGGTTGGCTAAAAATACACAAATGACAAAGCGGGGAATCATCCACACAGTGAAGGATCAAGAAGTGGATATCCCTGGAAGCTGGAATAACTGCACCAGGGTGATATCTGATAAAGCAAAGTGCACAATCAATAGCTTCATATTCTGCCTCTGGAGCCAGAAACATTGGCTGTTATCCTGCATTTACTCCTCTAACATCTTATAATCCTCTCAGAGCCCTGCAGAGGCTGCCCTGGTCCCTACAAAAATCACTAAGACTTAGCTGTGAGGCTGCTGGTGGGCTCAGCACCTCACCTGCAGTTACCAATAACATAGCACTTGCACTGGGGTAACCTGTCCCCTATATTTCATAGAAAATAAAGTCTACTACCTACTCCTTTTTGAAGAATTATGTTAATTTTTTCATTCATCTGCAAGGTTTAATCCACCTACAGGCATTGCTGTGCAAAGTGATCAGTTTTCTCCCCAGAACTTCACTACTTGGCAAAAACTCAAATCTAAATGGGAGCAGCATACATTAGCTGTTACTATCATGTCGTGCAAACATGCCAAGATGTTCCTCAAACAAACCTCTAACATATTAGTGGTTAAAAAGCTCTAAAGTAGCATGCGACCACAAGAGGAAAGGACAAATGGCAGGAAAAGTTATACAACCTCCAGTTGGAAAGTAACAAGACCTTTTTAGAGGAAATTCTTCTTCCTTACAGAAACGGGACCCAAGATTATTCTACAATCAGTGTATCCTAAATTTCATTCACAGAAAATAGAGAAACCATCACTTTGTTCAGCAAAGCTAAGACATGGGTACGAGTAATTCTTGCAAAATATAATAAGGACAATAACCACCGAATAACCCATTTCCCTCCTGGCTTCTCTGGACCTTGACAAGCTTTATGTGCTTTTGTTCATGGAATAACTTCAAAAATCCACTCACACTTAATTGCAGAAACTACCCTACATTAATTTTTTCATTTCTGAGAAGAGGGGGTGTTGAAACAACTAAACAACTCCAATTTTTATGCTATCCAAAAATGAGGAAAGCCTCTTAAGTACACAGAAGTTTTCCCAATTGCCTTCATAGATGGAATGCAACAGTAAAGGCAAAGGTTTTGTACTGTCTGTTCCAAGACTTTCCATAAGCACACTATAAATTTATCTTAGAACAGTGAGAAACAAAACCACCTTCTCAAACCAACTCACTACAGGAAGACTTCAGGCAACCTGTGAGGGCATAAGTAGTTAAAAAAAAAATAATTAAGAATGGCTTTGCAGAGAGCTTATTTCATGTTTTGCAACTTCATATGTCACACACTAACTTCACACATTGAGTTTCAAAGGTCACATAAGTCCAATAACTCCCAAGAGAAAAAGGAAAGATTAGACACAACTATTGCACATACAGGCTCCTTCCTTCATCAAGGACTGCCAGCAATAACGATGTAGTTACTTTGGTTTACAAGAAAACCCCCCAAAAACCAAACAAACCAAGGCCAACCCCCAAAAAGTAAAAACTGAAAAATCGATAAAAAATTTTAAGAACTCACTCAAAAACAGACACTCATCAGAGTTACAAGAAATTGAGTACTGGCTTTTATTTTACATTTTACAAACTGTCTAGAAACCTCCAGGAAGTTATTAAAAGTTACTATTGATGAGCACAGGTTTTATTCACTAATAAAGAGCTTTACTTAAGAATTTTTAAAATTGGTTTAACTTATATAACCCAGATGATACCTGCAAAAAACCTGATGCTATGGATTCTATGAGTATCTGAATTCCAGGCATTAAAAAAAAAAAAAAGTCTTTCCCCCCTATTCATCACAATTATCATCATCCTAGAAGTGGATTATGAAAAAGATGTCAGGAATGTGAAGAATTACCATGCATGACTGCCTGGTCCTCACAGAAATACGTGAGTCATATCTAAAAGTAAATGACCGTGCCACAGAGCTTTACACTGCATTGAAACAATATTGTCCTTACTGAAACAAACCTTAAAAACAAATCCAGAATCCAGATTTCTTCAGTTGAGAAGCAGATGTAATCCCATGAAATGTCTCTTTGTACTTACTCCTGTGTTTTGTTAACACTGCTCCCACCCAGCAGGAACCACCTCCTTTCTGGAGATGATGGCAAAATTGTAATATTCGCTGGTTCAGAGTTACACCTTAGACAAATTTTAAACATTAGATACTGCAGTTCCCTTTTTTGTAATGCACTTTGTTATTTTAGTCATCTCTTCCTCCAGAGAAACCACACAAATGCTGAGGATGACTCAAGTTTACCAAAAGCAACAAAAGAAAATGCATAGTGGTGACAGAAAAAAGAGAAGCAAATGTTTTGCAGAAAGTTCATAATTGAACTAAGAAAGAACCCACAAAGAAAAAAAAAGAACAGTCATACCACTAATAATTAATTCTAAAAATGTTGTAAGTATTATCCATGAAAAAAATCTGAGGATTGCTGACAGCTTTCCTCTTAAAGCCTACAGAAATTGTAGCATCAACTGGACATCAGTAAACACATCTGCAGAATGGTTTTGCAACGAAGGTGAAATTGCCATCTTCCTTTTTCAAGAAACCAAGGTATGAACAGACCACGGCCCATCCCAGGCCACTTAAAAAGCTTTCATCAGAAACAGGGGTTACACTCAGTGTTTCTGAATTCCACAGCAGCAACCAAAGCCTGGTGTGAATGTGAACCATCCACGTCCCAGGGGGTTTGGGCATGGGATGAGGAGACAATTCTCCTTTGCTCCTTAAAAGGGAAAAAGTCACAGATCTCTGCTTTCTCATTTTGACAATGCAACAGTAGGGAGGACATTCTTGCAAAAGTTGATACTCGGAAAATACAAATTCTTTTATGCACATCATATGTTATTCAGCATGAATTTTCTTTGCTATCATGCATATTGCAAAGTCATAACAAAAACAGTAAACACTTTATGAGATAGTTACAATGGACCAGGTAAGACCTTCTCTCGAGTAATACCTGGAGCTACAAGACTGAAAAAAACCTTACAATAAGATTAAGACAAAATTTAAGATAACTATCTCCAGTGATTATTCCCTAGCCATTTCTGGAAGCACGTTATCAGCAGGCATTTTCAGATGCAGGATTATGGAAATGGGGGATTCCCAATTGCATTTAGGACAGCAATGCCCCCTTTTCCTGCAGATTACACAGGGAAAAAAAATACACAATGCATTTGGCTTTTTGGATAGCTTAATTTGCTGGTAAAGTCAGCATTGGCCCTCCTGGGCTTTTTTTTAATTATTATTTATAGTTGTTGTTTCCAAAAGTAGGATTTAATGATTTAACCCCAGGAATCAGCTTTGCACCTGATTTGTCTCAGGGAGATGTGTTATACTTTATTCTCCATTGCCCTTTGGGATCAGTTTTACTGCAAAGTAAAACCAGACAAGACAGAACTTGAGAAGATCACCATGAGCAGGAGACATTTCTCAGAGAATTGGTGAGTAAATGGCTGTTACAAGACAAAAAAAAAAAGGAAAAAAAAGGAAAAAAAAAAAAGAAGAGTATATTGACAAATGCTGAATGCTTATCTGAAAGACAGTTCATTTCACTGAACCACTCCTGAAATTAAAACCTGTAAGTGCTTAAGGCTATTCATGGGAGCGTTAAAGAGAAACACCCTTTTGTCCAAACAAACCAGCGCAAGAAAGACATTAATTTGACTCACTAAGGTGACAGACTTGCACATTGTATAACTTAGACAACACGAGGGGTAATATCTACAAGAAAAAAAGTGTAGACAGAACACACTGGGCACAAAGTAAATGAAAGTTTCTCCGGCAGCAGAACCTGCGGTGGGGAGGCAGGAGAGGGCAGAACCAGGCAGAACCACTGCAGGATCCTGCCTGTTCATTTCAAAGGGTGAAATCCCAGTTCCAGATACTTCTTTCTGGGAATTACCTCAAGTGATAAGAAAGGAAACAAACCTCATATCTCCAAGAAGCAGTCCTGCAGTGACTTTCCATGGGAAATGAGCCAGCCAGTCCTGCTACAACATCAACAATAAAAAAAAGAGCCAGGGAGAATCTCTATCCCTTATTGGATGCAGGGGGGAACCTGGCAACCAAGGATGAGGAAAAGGCTGAGACACTTAATGCCTCCTTTGCCTCTGTCTTTAATAGTCAGACCAGCTACTCCCAGAGTGTTCAGCCTCCTGAGCTGGAAGATAAGGATGGAGAGCAGAACAACCCCCCACAATCCAGGAG